GTATTCTAAACAGTCTGTAATGCTCAAGTTATATATATATATTAAACATATTGATAGTATGCTATGTAGTCATTGTACTAGTCACACTTAAATAAAGCGTGCGCCGCGCGTGCTTACAATCGCCGGTGCTATGAGTGAGATAATCAGCCCGCCATTCCCCCGCACTTGCAGTGCGCAGCAGCGTCGCCAGACCAATACTAAACAGTGGCGTGCACTCACCACGTCACTATCCCGGCGCCGCGACTATCCCTCAGCGGTGATCCCGCCATACTACCGCACCCTCCCCGGTACAACCGCCCCGTCACATTCGTGTCCCCTATACTATTGTCGTCCTCTGGCAGTGCGGTTGCCCTATCGCGTATACATTACCTGCTGATCACCCATCTTCGGCCGTGATAAGGCAGTTGCGGAAACACGTTAAGTGCGCTGCACACACAAACCAGGGACGAAAGTGCCCACCTGGGCGCCGCGCTGAGCAACACATGCGACATCCTGGGTCTGCTAACGTGGGACACAGTGCGGCTACCCATCTGCTTAACGAGAGGAGCTGTTCAATGGCATTGGCGACGTGCTGGGCGTCCATGAGTGATGTCTCCTTGTTCACGATACTACAAACGTTTCGAACTAGCACAATAAGGGAGGTAAAAATGCAAAAACGTACTAGGGTAGTCGAAACCACACCCAATAGATCAAGGAGAATGTAGCAATTTGCATGAGTTCTTGAATTTGTTGAAACTATTGAAAGCACTATCGTTTGAAAGAAAATTATTTGAGCCCTCGATTTGCACGATCCCACGTTTAAAAGTACTGAAAGTGTTGCCGGCGGCCGCGCATGACGGTTGGGGGAGATGAAGCATTGGAGCCCGATTTAAATTGCGTGAAGTCTGCGGTTCAGCATGGGTTCCCTAAGGATAAGGTCAAGGAATCAGGCATACATAGTCAGGGTGTAAGGATGCAGCCGGTGTAAAGGGTGGTTGTAGAGGGTTGGTGGGGCTGCTAGGCGCAACCGTCGCGGAGACAACGCGACGATAAGCCATACAAATCTGAGTCAGGTGTATGACAATGCGAGCAAAAGAAATAAGGACGCACTTGACGCTTGCACACTCCTCTAATAACTGCACGGTAGACCATGGCTTAGTGGCATAGGACGGGCTGGGGGCATGCATGGCCAGGCGAGACGGTGATGGTACGAGCGATTCTGAGTGTAGAACTAGCGATGTAGCTGATAAGAAAGTAAGAGATGTCCTCCCCGGATCGAGTCCAGTCGCGTAGACTGCGGACGCGTGGGTCCAAGGGAACAGATCGTAAGAATTTCAGCAGATAAGCCCAAGGAATCAGACAACCTACACCCATTAGTACATTTGACAATCCTGGCATTCGATGGTGGAGCAGCTCATCGAGCTCAAATTGAGGAGGCCCAAGCCAAGGTCGATTTTCGATCTCAGCTCACGGCCATCACCGGTGACCTTCGATCAAACGCTGAGGTCGCTCAGGTTCAACCTTCGCCCCCGTCCGAAATCTGTAGTATACCAGTATAAGAATGGTGACCACATCTTGCACTTTTCCAAATATACACCCCCACCAGCCTCCTACCCAGGCCCACCTTCGCGGTTCAGGAGAATTTTTACCAAGTTCTTTTTTATCTTATCATATTCCTTATCTATTATTCCGAGATTTATGCGACAAGTTGTTACTCCTGAACCGCTCAGGAGGGCCTGGCACAAAACGTTTGTAAACAAGACCCTGCCGCCGTGATGGTGACAGGCACGTGGAGCGGTACTTCAATAAGAACTAAAAAATATAATAGATAAGGAATATGTGTTGTCCACTCTTGAACCATTCCACTCCAATTGGTGTGCATTTAATAGCCCCACCGAGTTACTCAAATTCCTTTTGCTTTGCAGCATCAAAATTGAACGGGAGCTCCTCTCTGAGAAACACTATGTGCTAAGATTGGTAATCAATGACACGGATACCACTATATTATCGAAACACCGCTCCACGTGCCTGTCACCATCACGGCGGCAGGGTCTTGTTTACAAACGTTTTGTGCCAGGCCCTCCTGAGCGGTTCAGGAGTAACAACTTGTCGCATAAATCTCGGAATAATAGATAAGGAATATGATAAGATAAAAAAGAACTTGGTAAAAATTCTCCTGAACCGCGAAGGTGGGCCTGGGTAGGAGGCTGCACCCCCACGGTGGCCATTGACTTGTTCTAAGCTTAGATATCCACCCCACGCTCGTTCAACTTTCAGGGAGGTCTATCAGCGTAGCAAGAAGCGCACGGACTTGGTGGCTGGACATAACGCGAGGCTTCCGCCCAAATTCACCATCGGCATGTACTAATAGGCTACTAGGAATGATAGATGAGTGCGAGTCTATGCTAGCATTACACGTGCAGGAATAAAGGGATCCTGATGGAGACGGCGAGCCTCGCAAGGCCTCAGAGGCGCGCACGCCAGCGACGCATCGCACAAGGTATTGCCATGATGTCTACTAGTAGTACTACTACTACACGACGTGGCACTGGCTATCTAATGGTCCGGTCACGTGACGCGCCGGCTCGGATACTGCTCCACTAAGATGCGTTGATCGTTACACTATCCAATTACTCCCCTATGCGAGTTCACCGAAAGGTATTTGTCCTTTTACATCGTTATGCAATACAACCTCCATCGGAATATCGCACACCACGTCCACCGCTTTGGTGATTTCAATTCCACCCACCAGACTTCGCACGCCATTGTCTGGCGCACTAGTCGACATCGAGCTCGCCCGGTGGGTAGATATCCGGGGAACGGTACTAGCACCCACGGAATACACGGTATGAATGGCGAGTATATGTCCGAATTTGATTTGGCGGTATACCCGACACGCCATGGAATTCATGAGCACAACATTCGGAACCGTAAACATGGCATGGTAGACTGGGGGAATCCCAGGGATGAGAATCATGACAAGAGTCAGGATATTGCTCCCCACAGTAATACTGCGCAATATCAGTTAAACCACGTATTTCATATTGTATTTTACGCTTACAAGTAATACTGTTGTCCGCTCTGTAACACGGCCTTCGAGAGTGTAGGAAGACTTCCGCGGCCGATGAGGGTCCTCAAGCGACCTCTGAAAGACTCCTCAAGTGACATGGACACGATTATTCGCCATGACACTGCTGCTAACACAAGGGCATCGTTGAAGCTGGAAATTGCCACGGCGGCGGAGTTCACCGGTTTGACGGATGTGTTGATGCAGTACTGTGTGTTCCCGATATGACCACCCGTGATTGAGAAAGGTACAATCATAGTGCCGCCCAAGACGGCCAGCCAAGAGATGAAGAAGAAGACAACCACGATTAGTCGCCTTTCGAAGAGGGCGCGAACGCGAAAGAAGAATAGAAATGACGATGATGAGACTGCCGCGCAGTAACACCATCCGATTGCAACTTGAAGTGCTTGACATGAACGCACGGTGGAAACTGCCGAAGATTCCTGTGTAAGTGACAACGAGCCTGGTCTGACACACGCACTTTGGAAAACAACACTCGTGATAATATACGCCAAGGATGCAACTCTTTTCCCGTTCGTTAAGCACTCTGGATCCAGACAACGAAGATAATACCCTCACCGCGAAAAGAAGTAGGCCATTGTTGGCAATGCCAATCTACTCTTAGACAGAAGTCTATACTCCTCGGGCAGGTGGGTTAAAATGTCCCAGATGAAGGCCTACGACGAAGTCAGCATGTCAACACACCACCCCAGTGCAGCTCCTACACCAAGAGTTGCCAGGTAGATATGGCGGGACACCTCATACCTGTCTGCATCTTGCTTCGGGAGGAAGGCCAGGGGGGTTTCGGGGTTTAAGATCTCCAGTGATGACATCCCCAGTGACTGTGTTAATAGGAGCACAATTTTTGGGTGCATCTCCGGTGGGAGCATTTGTAGTACTTCATGGCATCAGCACTTTACCTAGAAAGGGCAGGTGCCGGCGAACTGCGTAGGTGCGAACGTCAAACGTCGTGCGGAGCAATTCCACATGGGTCGGCTCACCGTATAATCTTGGGATGATTGATGATTCAATAGATGTATACGCTAGAATCATCACGCTGATTGCCATAAGAAATCGACAACGCAACATTTTTGGCAGCGAGAGGCCTCCGGGGAAACCGGAGGCCGGTCTCTCTACGAACGGCGATGCGGGCCCTCGATAAAACTCACGTCCTGCAACTTATGGAGGGGGATGATCACGAGCTTACTAGGTCAAGGCATAGATCGTAGGAGTAGCCAAAAAAAAAGGGGATTTTGGCGGCCCCTCGTCACCTAAGTAATGATAGCATGGTTCTATGATGAAATTATAATTAGTGTCCGTCCCGCACACAAAGGTTAGCGCGATCGTATGCAGAGAAGGCATGTCATACCTTCTGTGATTGATGTTCGGCGGCACGATGCCAATGATGATTATCTTGCCTAGCCAGCCGCTTAGGATGTGGAAGATCCCAACAACGAACACGAGCCTAAATAATAAGTGACATGTAAGAGCCGTTCGCGTCACAGAAAGTTGCGCCCGATCTGAGGCTGCAAAGGACTCACGTTTTTCGTGCCCGATAACTTATATATCCCGTATTTTGTGGAGATCAGGAAGCCAGACATAATATCCTCCGAAGCGCCAAAACCCTCGGTTTCATAACCGATCTTGACCCGACTTACCCTCGGATACTGGGAGCATAATAAATCTAAAAATGACGCTCAACAGTGATCATCATTATTGCCCAGCGCGTGTTGGTGGCTTTCAGGTTCTGGGGACTCAGAGGGAGCAACCCCGCAGCAACCGCGGGAACACAAAATATAGGTATATGGCCCCCCCGACCATCAAAATCAACATCACATGGCGATGGACACTGTCGGGTTCAGCGCAGTGATGATCAGTAGAAATGATGGTTGTAACAACCTCAGGTTGATGGCCGTGGAGGAGGCTAAAACATTGAGCCAACCAAACAAAAAGATGATGAGAGTGGGATTCGAACCCACGCCCCGGAGGACCAGATGAACTTTGCAGGTTCACGGTTGGACATCAAATGCCCTGATCCTTAGTCTGGCGCCTTAGACCGCTCGGCCATCTCACCGTGGCTTTGTGTACAGCCGTTGACTCTATGATGAGTGTTTGTGGTAGGCACATTGGTAAGCGTGGGTTTAATTTGATGAAAGCTCAAAATTCATCGAGTCTTCGAGCAGCTTCGAGCCCTCGAGCCGTATGCAATATATCTGATTCCGTTTAAGGTGAAGCTTAAGGGGATGACATTGACTCTGAAAGCCGACCGGTTGCTTAGCCGGCGGTTGGACAATCTCTCGAGATTGAGCTAAAGCGAAACCAGCCTCCACTAAGTACCGATCGGGGCAGTCGACGGGTGAAGGGTTAAAATCTTATCTCCAAGGCCAGTGTAGGCCAGTGTAGAGAATAGTTATGTTTGGGGGAACGCGCTGAAGAAGAGGTTTTGGGGGCCCAATTGGCAGCGAAAATATATAAATTGTGGATGGAATATGTTGGGCCAGGGGGCAGAATGGAGAGGCGTGTAAAAGCAGATAGGTTATTTAAGCAAGGCAACGGCTAATTCTGCGCCACCATCGGCTCTGGGATTGTCAAGCGACTCCGAGGTTGAGGGTTTATGTACCGGGGCTATACAATTATTTTCCAAGGCCCTCGGCACAGGCGGGGGCCTTGTTCGCGCGGGTGGTCGGGATTTTCGAGTTACTATTATGATGGCCGGCTGAGCGAGGATCGGCCCCGCCTGAATCGATTGGCGGATGTCGCGTCAGAAAGTTTCGGAGATATGTGGGAGACGCGGTATTTCCACTTTTGGGTGGCACCTCTGAAAAGAATTCATAGAAACAGCGCAGGCAGAATGGGGAATCGCGTGCTTCATCTGTTCGACGTACTCAAAATTGATGGCATTGGACTTGGGTACAGCTTGGCAGTTATAGCCAAGCATGAAGGGGTGGGATATTTTTTCATGCCAATTGTATTGTGGTGCAGAAGGGTCAGTGATGGATTGCGATAAAGCTCTATCTCGAAAAGCTCTCTCTCATATAGGCAGACCTGATATTGCATCCGAAGATATGAATTATGTCAACTGCGAGGGCACGCACAGCATGGAATAGGCATCCCGAGTAGCTGTATCGAATGGAAATCCCCAGGCCGAAGTAAAGATCCTAACCCCGGACAGGTGGATGGAAGATCTTCAGAGCCTGGTGGTTCGAGACATCCGACGCCTGGGAGTGGGGCGGTTTTAAGTCTAATCGGGGCCTGGGCGTACCGTAACTTGCCATGTCAACCTGGTTGCAAGCACCCTTGTGGATATTGGCGTGCGATTCCTTGGAAAATGTAGTCTCCAGCGGTACACGTCAGAACAGGGCGCGCGGAAGCTGTAGACCAAGAGCAGGAGCCATTTAGAATGATAAGATTGCCTTGAGGGACCTCCAATTGGTGCCAAGATGAACGATTTTTGACGTACATAATTATCCCAGGGCGCCAATAAGGATTGGTTGACCAATCGAGTAGCAATCATTGAATGACTACTACTAGCCAAGAGACCGACGGCCGAGGGAGAATGATAAACCTAATCTTCAACGACGAGCCCCCGTTCAAGGAGGCTCACGCGTAGGAATAAGTTGATAGCTTAGTATTCAGATTTTACTCGGTAAGCTCGTCAGAAAAACCAAGACATGCCGTGGTGGCAAAGCGTCGTTTGAGCGGAGAACAAACTCAAACAACAGGATCTGGTCGCTTGGTTTCGGTTAAATGGAAACTTGTGAAGCCTATCCGAGCTCGAAGCTAGGATTTGAGGACCGCCAAGCTGCTACCCCTTACAAACGAGGATCAGAAGGAGGCAGGATCGGAAGTAGAGAGGAAAAAATAGGACTCGTATCCGTGGGACTCCGAGCGGACAACCGCTTTACCACAAATTTTATTCAGTCAGGTGCTCCGTAACACATCCCACAAAAGGCGGAGCTTGGCTCCCCGACTTGACGCAGCTCCAGCCTCCCCTCACTCCACGCCCCCAGCTCATCTTGCACCTGTGAATTGGCATGTCCGACCTCAAAAAAGCACCCACTGCGGAATCTAATGGTAAAGAGGCAGGCGAATCCACAGCCAACAACTCGCTTAGCGGCCGAAACCCAAATGACGCCGAACAGGGAATGACTGTGGCTCGGTCGTCAATCTGGGAGCATCTGATGGGAGACGTTGACCCAGCGCAGGCTACAGGGCCCCTTGGAGCGTACTGCTTCATGACCGGTTTCATGTATGTTCTCGCTCTAGTAGCATGTGTGTTCGTTAACTCATTACGGTATTAGTGATGCGGTATCTTTCTCGGCCATCTTTGTATGGTGTGGCTTCCAAACCGGTAACTTCCTCCAGGTAAGTAGCAAGCACTAACTATGTATGGTATATCGTTAATCGGCGGGCTGTTCGCGTATAGCTTGCTCTCGCCCTGGCTCGTTTATTCGAAGGTCCTCGCGGAACTAGAGACACAACATTCCACAGAGCGGATCAGCAGGCCCTCACATCCCTGATCAGCTTCAATATTGGGGCATTCATCGGACGCATTGGAGACCGTGTCGGCCCACTCAAGCGCATATGGCTTGTGGCTGGAACTCTCATCCAAGCCGTATTTACCATGGCAGCTGCGATAGCAATCTGGAAGAGCGGACAAGCCAGCATTGCCGACGACCGGGGTGATCCCTCCTGGACGAATGTTCTCACTTTCGTCGGGATCGCATTCATGAGTGTCAGTCTTGGAGTCCAGGGTATTGTTGGAAAACGGTTGAATACGCAGTTCGGAACAACCAGTGCGTTACTCTACTCTATTTATATCCCATCTCTAACGAAACGCTTCTTATTTTGTCCAGTCGTGCTCACGACTGTTTGGGTTGAGCTTATGTCGGATCCCCGCTTGTTCCAGATACGAAAAGCCGTTGTCACCCGCGACCACAAGCTGATCGCCGCCGTCTCCCTCTTTGTCGGAGGTTTCATTGGCCGTGCAATTTTGGGCAAGATCGGCGCTGCGGGTACTTTGGGAGTTGGCGTGGGTCTTCGGGTGCTCATTGCCTTCTCTTGGATATTCGTTCCAAGCAAACCAGTCAGTCGATGAGTTACGCTGATTAGGTACACTGCTGGTTGGCCATCAGGCCTTTATTCATCTTTATTTTATTTGTGCCGGCCAAGGGTTGGTATGGGCTCCTACTCCGCGCAGAGTAGATGATGGTGCTGCATCTTGCTTTCGTAAAAATTAGATGATTTGAAATCACGGGTTACTATAGATTTGCTTCCGCTCTGGTATATGTACTACATGCCACCGATAATGAATTCAGAAACGAAAATTTGATGATATCATTGACCTTGGCCCCGCTGTTAGTTTTCGTACCGTGTGATAATATTTGCCGGGTGCCCAGAGATTTTCGGCTGGGTAGAAACCCCGGTACGGATACGGCCCATGCCTTCGAGAGTCTGATATACTCGCCAAACCGCATGGTCAATAGATAAAGCGGACTGGCCTGGGGGGTTGAGGGAAATGGTAGCAATTGATTACTACAGACACAACCGTACTAAACGGAAAGAGAAGCCATCTATCCTTTCGGACCTATGCCCAGCTTCTGCACCCTCTTCTCAAGCAGGGTGACATAACTGTCCATTCCCCCACTGCGTAACGCGACCTTTCCTTTCGGACCCACGACATAAAGGTCGCCCACTGCCGTTGACTCACCGCCTTCGTCGTCACTCTCGGTGTCCTCGTCGTTGCTGTCTCCCTCTTCGGAGGGTGGCAAGACAGGCGCCCCCTCAATGACACAGCGGGTGAAATATCGGTCATGGGTGACCAGGAGGATCGCACCAGAGTAGCGCTTAAGTGCGCTGATAAGGGCGATTATGGTATCTTTATCCAGATGCGTGGTCACCTCATCAAGCACGAGGAGGTCTGGTGAGGGGTACACTATGATGGCAAGGGCGAGGCGAACCTATCTGTGGTATGGGCGCTTTGTAGATTTCCTGTTCGAGAGATACATACCTTTTGTCCGCCAGAAAGGGTACTGATGGCGCTCGCAGCAGTCCGGCCATGCAAGCCAAGAGAGCCCAAGAAGGAACGCGCAGTTTGTTCATCGATCTCAATCGAGTGGTCTTCCTTCAGCTTCCGAATTAAATGGGTGCACGCAGAGGCGTTTTCCGCCCAGGCGCCAGAAAGGGACTCGACAGAGTGTTGGTCGAAATACCCAAACTTCAGCCGCGGGTGGCGCTCGACTGTGCCACGCACGGGCTTCAAATCTCCCGTGAGCACCTTCACGAGTGTGGATTTCCCTTCGCCATTCCTACCGACCAGGCCCACGCGCGCGCCGGGGTGTACTGTGAGGTTAACATCGACCAAGACTTGGGTGGAAGATTTCGGGTAGTTGAAGGAGACGTTTTGAGCGGATATCAACGCTCCCGGAAACCGCATGGGCTCGGGGTCGGGGAAAGTAAACTTGATGGGCCTGTCAAGCTCCGGGATTTCTATTTCTAGGCGGGAGGTTAGGAGATACGCGGGTAAGTCGCGATTGCGTTTAAATCTGATTATACAAATATAGCCGACTGAGGCACGCAGGCGTTTGAGGGAGCACTGTACCTTGTCCCTTTGTCCGATTTCTCCAGACCCCACCGGTCATCTAGTTTCTTTTGTCTCGATTTCACCATTCTTGCGCGATTTTCATCACCAGTCTTCTTTGCGCTCCGCGCCCCGAGCTCGATGGTCTTCTCGATCACGCTCCGTTTCTTGTCCAGGGCGTCTTTCATCTTTATTTTACCCTTGCGTTCAGCAAGACTATATCGTTCATATTCCGTCAGGTTCCCGTCAAAGTAGGATAACGACTGTTTCCGGAAAATGATTGTTTCTTGGGCGATGTGGTCAACGAAGTCGCGGTCATGCGCCACCACGAGGAGGGTGGAATCAATGGTGTCGAGGTAATATTGCAACCACATGACGGACATGATATCCAGGTAATTTGTGGGCTCATCGAGGATCAACTGTATCACTGCGTTTAGTGGATTGAATATGGCTCCAGAATAGGTGGGCATACTATATCGGGTTGTTGGAGAAGG